TTATTATATAAATTGGGCGTTAGAATCGGGCGTTACAGTATCTTTCAATTTTGCTTATCCATATATTTGGTTAGTTGTTTTCATTTGTCTGCTTCGCGGGTTGTTTTATGTTGCGAGGTAAGAACTGAAAATTAAATTGAAAAAATAGAAAAAAAGAAAATTTAAATTATATTTTAAAGTCATATTTAATGAATAACATACATAAATGACATTGAGAGTATAAAATGAATTTATATTCTCGTTTAATCATAACCTACCTTAAAATTACATCAATAATAATTATGATTAATTGATAAAAGAACTTGCTATTTTTTATTCCATCTCCTTGCTATTCTTATTTATCTCATGAATTGTGGGAGGGAACATAAAGTCCCCTCATGTTTTCTCACTCGATATAAGAAAACACTAGCTAATTTACAGTAACACGTGCGATTATTTGTGTAGAGTCTATTGAAGTAATTATTGTGTCTTTGTGTTTGTGTATGCCTCTATGGTAGCATGAGACAACATGAAAGAATAAGCGAGTAAATCCAAATCCAGCTAACATTAATGCTTACAAATGCTGCTTCCTCTCGCTCTGCATGTAGGTAATTCCACGATCACAACTGCATTACACGGACTCTTATAACCATCTAATAAATATTCAACACGACAAAAAGTTATTATCACAAATATTTCGACACTTATATTTTTTAACTAAAAACTGAAATTTTATCATTGTTTTTGACATAAAATTATAATCCAAGTATTATTTTATTTTTAAAATGGATAAATTTAGTGAAAAAAAAGTTTTACTGTTTAAATATACCAAAAAACAATGGAAACTCTCCCATCCAACTTTTTTTCAAGAGTTGGGATGCATAAGATGATTTTAGCTTATGAGAGACTCAACTTTCTTCTATAAGTACTTAGGGAAACCTTAATCTAGAGAGTGCCTAAAGAGTAAAGACCCTTGACCGTGCATACGTGTGGTTGGTTCTTCTTAGCATCTATCTCGGCTGTAGTAAGATAAGGGAAATTCAGCAGTTGTTATGTGCTTTTACTCACTTAACTTTTTTCCTATCAGTAGACAGTAACTTCAATCCTTTATATATATATAACAGAAAGTTTAAGCAGAAGTTTAAGCAGTTACATTATGTGTATTTTCAAAAGTATATCAAAACGAGTAACATATGTATGAATATTTACACCACAAATATATATTATTTTTCTCTCCCCTATGCGTATTACATTTTTTGAATCAACAATGAATTCACGTCATAACTACTATTATCATCATAACAAACAAGCCGCAAATAAAATTACAAATCAGATGCTTTTGGAGAAAATAGAGATGTGAAGGCTATGACTTCTAAACTAGCTCATTGACACGAGTACAGTAACAGTAGTTTTACTATCTAATCTAGATCTTCACCAAAAGAAAAGGAAATCTTAGAATCTATGAGGAGTTAGATACAGAGGAGCCACTGACCCATTTATCAACAACTGAATCTGGTGAAACTGAGGAAGGAACCTTCTTCAAAAGTCTAACTTCATCTGTCCTAATTTCCAATACTTCTACATCTTTCCCTTCACCAAGATCACCACTCTTGATCCCTCTCAAGACATCCACCACCTCATCCATTGAGGGTCTCATCTCTCTTTCCTGCTGCAAACACCTAAAGGCCAATTCTGCCACTGCTGTTGTCATCCTCCTCATAGCATGATCCCTTTCAAACCCAAGATAAGGATCAACCAACTCATGCAGTTCCTGGTTCTGAATCTTATTGACAGCCATGTTTGCTAAGTTCACATCATTGCGATGTCGGTTGATGTCCACAGCTTGCAATGATGATATGAGCTCAATCAAGACCACTCCAAAGCTATAAACATCACTTTTATCAGTGAGTTGGTAGCACCGGTAATACTCAGGATCAACATAACCAGGTGTTCCCTGTGGAGCTGTTGATACATGAGTGACATGGTTTGGGAACAACCTTGAGAGACCAAAATCTGCAACCTTGACGCAAAATTTGTCATCCAGGAGAATGTTGTTGGTTTTAACATCACGGTGTATGACATCTTTTGAATGTAGGTAGGCTAGAGCCTCGGCTGTTTCGACTGCAATGTTCAACCTTATAGGCCAAGGGAGTAGATTTGATTTTGATCTTTCCCCTTGAAGATGATCAGCCACTGTTCCATTAGGTATGAACTCATAAACAAGGAGAAGTTCTCTGCTGTGTCTAGAGGTGCATCCATAGAGTGTCACAAGGTTCTTGTGCCTTATACGGGCTAGAATCTCAACTTCATTCATGAACTGTTCCATACGTTTGAAGTTGCTTTCATAAAGGCGTTTCACCGCAACTGTACGCCCATCTTTGAGTTCACCTGATTAACAAACAGAAGATTGTTCAAGAAAAACAATCAATGTGTGAGAAATTGGCAGAAATTATTACAGAGGGAGTTATCTTGGTTTTTACCTAGGTAAACAGTGCCAAAACCTCCCTCGCCAAGTTCTCTAGAAGTGTCAAAGTTTTTGGTAGCTTCCTCTAGTTCTTCATAGGTAAAGACCTGGACACCAAAGTAGTAACTCCTGGGAGGCACTATGTTAGACTTGGAAGATTGGTAAGAAGAGACACTTTGAGTTTGAGACGTGATCGTTGTAGATGTAAAAGTGTCTGCACTTGAAGGAGCCATGAAAAGGTCCCCACTTCTTGATTTATTATACGCAATTTTTCTCCTTCTTTTCATCATAAAGAACACACATCCAAGAATGACAACAAGGATTACAGCTCCTCCTACACCAGCACCTGACGACAATATCAAATAGTAGACATTAATAAATTTCTATTAACAAAATGGAAGTATTTAAATATGTACCAAAACATTAACGAAAAAAAGGTACCTATTGAAACACCTTTGTTAGATTTACCTGCAATATTCCAAACAAGCAAAAAATGTCAAACAAAAGGAATCAAATAAGGATAGAAGAGGGGTGTAAAGAAAAGGCAGTCAACAAGTCTCAGTTCCAGATATTAATAGGAAGATAATAAAGCCTCATTTCTCCCATAACCGATTGGATAGACAGTGAACCAGTAATTATAACTGAAAATTAAGTTGCAGGAGAAAGTGATAACCATTGGATTTCCTTATTAAAAATGCACAAAATAAAAGCGAACCATTCATTAGTTCATTAACAGAATAATTTACTTTACCCCAGAGAAAGTTAGAAACTGTCAAGGTGATTCTGGTTGGAATGAAAACAACATAGGCACAAATATGCAAGATGCAAGTCTGTGAAACATATCTAACGTGGAATAAGAATTACATACATATACCAAAAGCAAGCATGGCTACAAAAGTAGAACTGTTTGAACAGAACTCAGGAACATAACATGTTGTGTGGATGACTTTCTTTACTTGTAAAAGGAAATACCAAACTGTATGGTTTAACTTTAATATGAAATGGAAGAAATGGAGAAAATAGAAAATATGAAGGAAAGAAAGAGCCATCCACTCTATATGGTTCGAGTGTACTATAAATTAAATTAAATTAAACCACATGGTAATTTTCTCTAAAAGCAATTAGTGAACTTTAGGATATTGAAGTAAAAGCTTCAACTCTGTATTTAACTAGTGAATTTCTTCGAGCACGAGTGCACAACTCATCTACCCAACTCCATTCTGAAATTCTGATCATGATTGCTTAAAATAAAGATAAAGTAATGAAGTTAAATCCTAAAAACAAGTGGCAATTCCACTCACTGCGATCCGTGGACCACCAATTAATTTACTCAAAGTTCAAACCCTGCTTTGCTTGGCGTGCAAAACTAGGAGCCTTTCCAACCAAAAGAGCAGCCACTTAGTCATACAACACAAATAAATCATCCATATAACCGTAAGAATCATAACCAAAATTTTCACCAAAAGAGAACTAGAACCGAGTGATTTACACACTTTTGTGGTCAACTGTTTCGTACTTGTATAAGTGGGTGTTTGGTTCAACATTGAGTCATCTAAAATCAAATGAAAATACCACTTAACGTGATTTAATTTTTTTGATAAATGTTATATGTTTAGTCTCATACTTACCCTCATGTTGATTTTGAGTCCAGAATTAATTCTGAGTTGAAACAACTTTAAATAGCCTTTGCGTTGAATTAAAAAAAAATATTTACTTGTACTATTATAAAGAGATAATTAACCCAAAGAAAAGCTTGAATACCTGAAGATGGACACAACTGATCCCCACAAATACAAATGTGTTCATTGTTATCATCATCAAACCCACACTGGCCTCCATGGCCACGACACTCATCGCACTCACTGTCATAAGGATCCGTATACTTCACATTAAACCCCTTCATCAAAACCTCCCCAAGCAAAGACCGGTTACTCACGAGCCTCTCAGCCTGCTCTTCAAGAATCGCCACCTCAACACGTTCATCGCACTCAACAACGCCAAGAATCGGGTCCAAAGGTAACGGACCAACCAAAGAATAAGAGTTATTCTTATTCCCGTTTCTCTCGCAGTGAAACAAATTTTCTGGCGGTTTGGAGAACGCTGAAGAGGGTAAGCACTCGTAAAACAAGGTAAGGTTCTGGTTCCCCGAATCGTAGCTAAAGATGGGGACATCGAAAGTTGAGTTAACGTACACATGCATGCATGTCTCGTTCCAAAGGTCTACTCTAGCTAAGGTGAGTGTTTGAGCCGCTGAGTTGACACGAATGACTCGGTAACTCACTGATGAGATGTTCAACTCGGGGACGACGCCGTTTTGGCAGTTTAAACGGAACTGTGGTGGCCCGCAGAAGGAGGGGCGGTCACCGCCGGTGAAAGGGTAGGAGAGGTTGGTGATGGTGCCGCAGTTGAAGGTGGTGACGTGGCAGGTAGAGAGTGTTGCATGGGGTGGCAACGATGTTGTGTGGTGGAGAGAGAGGATGAGGATGGTTATGATGGTGGTGGTGGACAAGAGGGACAACATAGTTTGTTGTTCACTCGTTGAGGTTTGTTTGTTTGTTTAAGGTTTATGCCATAAAAATGTTGTTGGTTTGTAGTGTGAACTAGGGTTCTGTGGATAGAGAAGAAAAAAACCAGGAAGATGAATTTATTTGACTTGGACTTTGACGAGGTGTGAAAGAGAAAATTATAAATTCAGAGTTCTGGGTTTTGGCAATAGCAGCCTGCAGCCGAATAATGCGTATTTTATTTTTCTTGTTTTGCACATTAAATAAGAAAAAATAGGCTATTATTTTTCTTAAAATAATAGGTTGGCGTAAATGGAAATTATTTTACGAGCACATGGATAGAAGGAGAATTTTTTATCTATCTGATGCGAACATTATTGTCTGCTAATGTTGTCTATACCCCAAAAAAGAAAAATGGAAATTATTTTGTTGGGATGATGGTGAGGCATGCGTATATAAAATTGAGGGGCATTGGTTTATTATGGTCAAAATACAAATAGTCGTATAATATAGTATGGTACTAAGGTTGAATGGTGGCTGTTGAAAATCTAGAACAATGACTGAAAGGTTTCAACCAATGGTACATTGATTACATATGGTTTGGATTTTGGAAGTTTTGTCTGGTTCAGATGGAGGAAGTGCTGTGGGCCTGTGGCGTGGCGTGGATATATATTAGTTAAAGAATCACATGTGTGGTGGCATCTCATAACATGATGTGACAAAACATATATATTCAATTTCAATTGCAATGGCTGGCAGTGGCAGGTGAGTTTAGGTGCGGGACTTGAACTTGAGATTATTAAAATTGATTTATGTCATCAATGGTAATGTTTCAGTCTCAGGAAATGGATAAAAGAGTGTGGTTACTAAATGATTTACGCACGGAGCTTCATGCGATTTATTTTCTCCAGAAATTGAGATGTCAAAGGATAGACAAGAGATAACATGGAAATAGGAAGAAAAAAAAAAGAGGAGCAGCATAAATGGGTAATGGTTTTGAGTTTCCCAACCAAGACCATTTCATCGGTGATCTCAGGATTAGTCATCAGTCAAGATTTTCACCTGTGTCATTGTTCAAGCATGTCTTCTACTAGTAGTTCCCACCCATGAAGCACTTATTTCTTAACCCATAACACGTTTTGGAAAAGAATAAACATTCCGTCTTTGCTGAGCAAGTAATATTTCTATGAACAACACACGAATTCAACCTTCTTTATTTACTACCTTAATATGCATGATTTTTCTTATAAAAGCCAAACATACATGTTTGGAATATTTTATTTCAAGGGAAAGAATTGCTTATTTAAAAAAATCTTAAAATATTAGTTAATTTAAGTAATTACTCAAAACAGGTGAAACAACACTGAATGATTGTAATTAAGGTGATAAGTGGGTGGCATTTAGTGCCATTCCCAAAAATTTTGTTTAGATAAGACTTATAACTAGAATTTATTGACCTATAAAATATCAGGGGCCATATTTACGTTTCACAAATATTATCTCCTATTTTTGCCTGAAATTGCTTTTCTCTTTTGAACTCTTTGCTGGCTGGGTGAAAAAAAATATTTAGCTTTGAAGTCCTCCAATTCTAGACAAACCCAGGTTTTCTTTTTCTACAACTCTAGGAGGTGACATCTTGTCACATTTTGCAATTTAGAGTTTTAAGTTTAACCCACAAAAAGGAATTTGTACATATTTTGCATTAGCAAACAAAAATACAGATCCTAAGTCAGGAAACAATAATTAGTTGTAGATATTTGATAAGAACTACCAAAATCTCGAAATTGGTTTGTGTTTGGTATAGGGTCTAAATCTAACTACCAACTACAATTCCAAAACAGGAGAATTGTCCCTAGATTTGAGTTTTGAATTTAAAATGGCAACGCAAGAATTTTAAGCAGACTATTGATCAGTTTCCTAGACGGAAATACATTTTTGAACAGACAATATGTAATCGAGTTACTGGACCCCATAAAATGGAAAGATAAGTCTAATTGCAGTCAAAGAAGGCAACAAATATTTTAAAGAAGGAAAAATGTGTTAACACTGTTGAATGTTACTTACTACTACCTAATATCCACCTTTCTATCTGCAATATTTTCCAAGAAAGGTGATGCAGCAATGCTGCAAGGAAGTCATTGACAAGCAAAACAAAAGAAGGGAAAAATAAAAAAATTTACATCTAGAAGAAGCAGTCATACCCAGATATTCCTAAAAAAAACCTATCATTATTATTGTTATTGCTGATCCTATTCACAACAGGGAAGTTCTTACCCACTTTCCACCCATGTTAAATAGCAGAAAATACACATTAGAAGCACTCATATACAAATTAATGTTTCCTATGAAGCTGGGGGGTAAGTTTTTAAAAGGCTTCCGTGAATCTACGGATACACTTCTCTAAAGGTAAGGAGTGGCAAGTTAAAAAAACTTGAGATTTTTATAAATATAGGTTGAAGTTGACTAAAGTAGCAACAGATTGATTAGAGATTCCTAGAATGCTAAATCTCTCATCAGTAACAGATAATAATACTTTACAGTTACTCACCTGATTTACATGAAGATGGAAAAGATCCATCCTTGCAATAGCAAGCAAATTGACTTGAGCTTGGGTTATAACCACAATGGCCACCAGAGTTTTGGCATTCATCACACAAACTATTGTTTGCATTCCACTCCACGTTAAAACCATTATCAACAGCGACCTTAAGATTTTCCACTGTTGAATTTGTTTCTAGAACTTCAGCTTCTGACTCCAAAATTGGAACAGCGACTCTAGATTTGCATGCTCCAAGTATTTCACTTGACTCAGCATTTTCAAGCATGCTCTCCACCACAAAATAGTTAATCATTTGAGTTGCATTTACACTGCAATTAAACCGAGGGGAAAAGCTACCTGGCTGAGGAAATGGAGGGGTTGGACAATCATAGTAGAGAGACAGGTTCTGAGAATCTGAACCATAATCAAAGAAAGTGCAACCTAAAGTGATGTTCCTGAGGCTAGTTGGACAAGTGCTGTTCCAGTAATCATTTCTTACAACTCTGAGTCTATGATCAGAGTGATTGACTTCAAGAAGTTTGTAACTCTCTGACATAATGGTAATCATTGCTACTTCACCTGTGCATTGTAGCTTAAATGCAGGGTGGCCACAGTATTGTGGTCTACTAGATCCCCAGAAAGGATAACTCAGATTTTTGAGATTTGCACATTGAAATGAAGAACTGCATCTCAGATAATGCACATCATCAGCACTAGACGATGTTGGAATTTGATTTAGGATGATGGCTATGACCAAGAATGAGAAAAAGATGGTTGGAAGAAGTTGCATTTTCAGACAAATAGCTTGGTAGAGAAGAGAGACAGAGATAGATAAAGGGAAGAGGGAGATTACAATTGTAGTTAACATGTGCTTGGTGAGTTTTCAAGTGCATCATTGATGCAAATGTAAATTTAGGTCACCTATTAATCATTGACCGGGGCACAAAATATGCTTATATCAGTTTGAATCGGTATTACCTAACCCTTAGAAAACGTTAAAGAAAATAAAAGGGTTGGTGCTCAGTGTCTAACAGCTCAGGCTACTAATGGCCCAACTTCATGTCTAACTACTCTAAACCACTCAAGCTTACTCGTGAATCATGAATACATTAAAAGTCAAAAGAGGTGTGGCACGTGTTAACCAGAATCGGTATTACCTAACCCTTAGAAAACGTTAAAGAAAATAAAAGGGTTGGTGCTCAGTGTCTAACAGCTCAGGCTACTAATGGCCCAACTTCATGTCTAACTACTCTAAACCACTCAAGCTTACTCGTGAATCATGAATACATTAAAAGTCAAAAGAGGTGTGGCACGTGTTAACCATGGAAGAAAATGAAAAATATATTGGAGGCTAAGTTCCCAGGATTTTAAGCACAAGAAGTTTCTAATTTACTGATGGTGCCAAAAATCAAGCCACATAAGCCAAATCAAAGAATTAATGAAGTTTAGACCTACATATATGTGAAAACGCGAGGATGACAGAAGGAGGCGTGAGCGTGACTTTAGCAAGAGAATAAACTTGATGGTTTGGTGAAGAACTACTTGGGAAATGGTCAACAGAACTTATCAGGAGTTTGAAATGTTATACGTACATGAAAGTCAAAACAGTAACATGACTTTGGTTCTATTGCAAGCGAGCAATTTTTGACCCAGTCCTCTTCAGGTGGTAAGGTGTTTAGGGGAAAAATGAATGTAACAGTTAATCGGCACCATTGACAAGCCAAATAATTTGCTCTAAAATGTCTAACACCCCAATTTTGTTCCATGGGTGTTCATCTCTCATTCCCTTGGGTTGGTGTGATAAAGTAACCCATAAAGTCATTTTTTTTTGGTTGCATCAAGGATATTTTCAAATCGATAGTCAAAAATATTTCCTTTTGAGATAGATCACCAAAGTGAGTTTATCTCTCTCAACAAAGCCTTCTCAATAAACACCGTTAGATTATCGAACATTTGTTGGCATACTTAAAGAACTCGATCATTTATTAATTATGTTGGACTTTAAAAGTCCATACTGATGCCTCCGTTAGCAAAAAGGTTGTTTTGCAGTTATAAGCTGATAATATAACACGGATTCTTCAATCACAAAGAATCCATGTTTATCAACTAAACTCGAAATGGAAACAGGCAAAAGGGTTTTTTTGAAATCATCAAGCTAGCAAGCATACCTGAGTGTGGACACGAAGCATTTTGAGGTCCATCCTTGCAGAAACATTGGAATTTTGCAGCATCGAAGCCACACTCTCCATCAGAATCAGTACAAGTTTTGCACTGATCCTGATTTCCCGTCCACTCCAATCCAAAACCGTCATTCAGTGCTGTGTTTATTATTGCATTGGAATCGGCAGACACAAGTGAAGTGATGTTTTGAGAAATAGGAATGACCACAATCTTGCATGGCCCAGTATACGAATAAGGGAAAGGTCCGAAAGTGTAGTAGACATCATTTCCACAGCCAGTACTATACGGATTCGTGATGCTATTGGGGTTTGAACTTGAAGGGCACTCATAATACAGCGTCAAGTTAAAAAGCACATCAGAATCATATTGAAAGGGAGTATTATCAAATGTGATGTTCTTGTAACCACCCGCCACACAGATGTTACTCCAATCGTCCCTAGCAACTGTGAGTGTCTTTGCATCATCCCAATGAAGAATACGATATTTGATGTCATGGATGGTTATCTTGGGGACATTCTCTTCGCATGTGAGCTCCTGTGAACCACAATACTTATCTCTGTTTCGTCCCCAGAATGGGTACTTGAGATTTGTGACACTACTTCCGCACCTGAAAGCGTTACTACAGGTCGTGTAACGACTATCATCCTCACAGAGACAAGTTGGAACAGTGGTTGAGATCACAAACAGAATGAAAATGAAAGGCTCAAGAGGCACAGCCTTCATTCTTCCTAGCTACCTAGCTAAGATGAGAAAATATTACTTGAGGTGCAGGATTAGGAACGAACAACAAAAGGAAGATGAAGACTGAATAATTAAATGAAGTAGCGTGTACTAATAGATGATTGATTATATTGGGAACTCTAAATAGTGAATTTCGCGTTTCACTTTCAAACCATGCCAATTTCAACACCTTGATTATTCTAAGGAACCCGATCGAAACAGCAACCTAGAATTTATGACGTGAACTTAGCTTAGAGCAGTTGAATAATGTTGCATTTTTCCTACACACTATTCTAGATTCCGTGTTTTTTTTTTGTCTCATTTCAAACTCCCAAAAGTCTGCTTCCAGAAGAGTCCCATTTATTGACCGCACTAAGAAATTGAACCCAAATTCTACCTTGACTTCATATTCATGCAAAATAGAAAGAAAAAAAAAAACAAAAAAAAATAAAGTTCACTCTCTTTTTTTAACATGTTCAATGAGGTTATAAGAAACTAAATTGAATAAGTAATATTATTGTACCTAGTAAGACTAATAAGAATTGCGAGGATCATTATTAAATTTATTTGGCCAGCATCACTTTAATTAAATAAATGCTTATGCAGCCCTGAGTCACCGTCAGACAATGTTTGATAAACATATGTTGCAGCCCCAAAGTCACACCATCAACGTGTAATTATTATAAACAAAGCAACCGGTTCCTTTATGTTCTCTTCACGCAGGAACATGCTACTCTATTATTATTACCTTCACTCCTTTTTTAAGTCTAGTTTAAGGTTTTGTTACATAACTTAAGAAGATTTGATAATTTTTTTCTTTATGTACAAAATAATAGTTTTACATATTTTGTATCTTTTTCATTTCTGTTCCACAGTAAAGGAGTATTAGTTGTGTGAATTAGTTAAAAGTTAACTAAATGAGGAATAATTATTGTTATCTTGCACTATGAAAATTACAAATAAAAATAAAATTTAATTATTTAGAGAAGTACAGTTAAAAAGAAACGAAGGGAATGTTATTATAAAATGTTGTCTTTAAATGAAAAAGAAAATCTTTGAAGTAGTGAGCTTTTTTCTTTTCTTTTTTACACTTGATAAGAAACGGTCTTCCGTTTGCATTCAAAATTTCAAATTTCTTGTAAAAGACGAAAGAAATATACACGCAAAAGAATGAATCCTGCCTTAGACTATGCATAGTTGATGATAAAAGTATTCAAAGAATTTTTTACTTTCATACTATAATCGAGGGTTTAGTATGATCTAATCTAGATATTGACTTATTTGGTATAAAACTCGGTGGACATCTCTACATGACACCCAAAGAGATAAAAGAAGGATAAAAAGACAAAAAAGAAATAATAATAAATACAAATTTCTTCTATAGATGTGATTTATATAGTATTTTAAATATGACAATCCATTTTTATATATTAAATATGAATCTTTATCTTATACATTTTTTTAAGAAAAAATGATAAAAAGATTTATAAGAATTTTTTTTAATTTGATTTTTATTTATCATAATCTAATATTTTATAATAAATTATTAATAATTAAAAATAAATTTTCATTACGATACAAATTATTTATCATAAATTTAAAATATAATTTATATGTTTACAAAA